CACTTTTGTTTCCACAGTATTATTTTCTCGCTATTTTATTTGCTTGACAAAAGTCCTAGTTCCTTTTCTCAAAATGCGCGTTTTTTAATATGTTACAAATAAAATCAGTGCAATATTATAAGTTTTTTTATAGCCTACATATTATATACTAAATGAATTATTCCACTCGGAAACTGATAGATTTTTCGTAAAATGCTGAGTGGAATTGAAGACACATGTAACAAAATCATTGTATGAAGAAAACTGACTTTAAACATTTTTTTATTGGGACTTTTTATTTAATTGAAATTTTAAATATTTAGTTTAATTAATTTGTTATTATCTTGTGTTTGCAATAAAGTAATCACAGAATGAAAGAACCACAAGGTTAGTTTAAAGCCAAAAAAGGAATGTTGTAAAAAATTCCAGTACACCTTTATTCATTTGTGTCTTCAATTGGTTAAGAGGGGAAAACATCAAGTCAAGTCATCGTTGATTGTTAGAGCGGTCTGTAGGACCTTAGCCCTTGTGTTAGCGTGTCAGTTTGTTAACCAAGAAACCAGACAAGGTTGAAGAAAAAAGGGGAGACAGGAAGAGAAATAAGGGAGAAAGCGAAGAGGAAAAAGTGAATCTTTTAAGTGCCGTATCGTCAGTCGTTCCTATAATAATTGTAGGATGCCTTTATGGCCTCCTTGATTTTCATATTATTTTCTGTCCTTCAAAAAGGCTAGGGATTTATAGATATCTACTGTTCCGTGTCGGCGTTAGCGCTCTCCTATTGTGCGGTTATGTTTCCTTTTTGAATTGTAGGAAATTTCAGGCTGATATAACAGATGATATAAACTAAAAGCATGAACAATTTGATGCAGATAGATATCTGTAACATAACCTCAAACTGGAGTGCCGAGACGGAGCAGTAGAAACCTATGAAAATCAAGGAGGTCTACAATCGTAGGATGCGTTTATGGCCTCCTTGATTTTCATAGTTTTCTACTGTTCAGTATCAGCCTTCTATTTTGAGGTTATGTCACAGAGTACTACCAGAGGCGACACTCTGTCAAAAATCAGGTTCTATCAACGTCAACTTGAGTTCTATGCATTTGGTGGGATTCCTACTGCTGTGACATTTAGGGCTTATCTGTGGAATGTTGTGGCACGTGACCGCAAAACAGTTTTATCAATAGAAATCAATTATTTAACCTAAATGCATTTTGGGTAATAATAAACACACATTTCTTCATTATGTGGCTTGACATATGACATTCGTGACGTCAGGCTAATAACGCGTAACAACCCCTAGGGAAAAATCCTCCGGACGCTAATGAACATAAGCGGGACATGTGGTAAGCAGTTGGGGACACGACGATCAAAGGGACCGACAGCAGGTGTCGCATCTGTATAATATGTGGTTATGTTACAAATATCTACTTGCATCAAATTGTTCATGCTTTTGATTTATATCATCTGTTATAAAGTCTGAAATTTCCTACAATTCAAGAAAAAAATATAGCCTGAATATAGGGGAGCGCTGATGCTGACATGGAACAGTAGAAATCTATAAATATCCCAGCCTTTCTGACGGAGAAGAAATACTATGAAAATCAATGACGTGATAAAGGCAAAGACAATTGCAGAAACGACTGGCAATATGGCCCTAAGACAAAGAGTGTTTAGGCATTGTAGTGGAAAACAAAAAAGAACTAAATAAGTAAAACCAAATTTACAGATTCACAACTTTCAAAAACATAGGTATTTACATTATTAATGGTAACTACATTTTCAAAGGTTCGTCGCTAAAAAGTAAAATTATCTAAGCTCAAGTACCAAAATCTTAGTTAAATAAAACATTTTTTAATGCATGATTTTAGAGTTGAGTTTTGTATTACTGGTAAAGAATTTATTGATCGGTAGTACCTCAGATATTTTTAAGTTTTAAACCCACTAGAAACGTATTCTCTCATGTTTCTACTAAAGTTTTTATAAGGAAGTTGCAAAATTACGGTATTCATGATTTGGGGTATGCGTCCATGGCACGCATCAGCTTCGAGCGCTAAAGGCTTTTATAACTCATTGTTGTCACTGCTGGCCAGAGACTCCTTTATATTTCCATGCGAGAGAGAGAGAGAGAGAGACTGAAGCGTGTTAGAAAGAGTGCGTCATATATGCGTCTTCACGATACACATACACTGAAGACAGGATGCTGCGCATGTGGGCGGAGCTTCGTGACGTCACCTTGAAAGTGGTCGGCTCGTGATTACCAGCGGCAGGATTGTCGTAACGTTACTGCAGCGCACGTGAATCGTGGTTAATACTATAAATATAGTGCGATTCGTTGGTGATTTTTGGTGGTTTTGTCAATTGTTGTATTAGTTATAGGTACATACTTTATAAACCCTGTGTGGTTGAGGATGCTAAAAAATTATTTTCAGGTCAAGGATGTTCTTCCGGATCAAAGAACTGAATAAAAGTTTGGAAGAGCAGAAAAAAACGTAAAAAGAAATGGAAAAAAATTGTTGCTTAGACTAAGTCATTTCCATTTATTGTTATATCGCCAGCTTACTGCAAAAAAAAGATAACTCCATTTTTTCTACTTTTCGAGTTGCATATATTTTCACACTTACATGTACTTAGTACCCAGGATGTTCTGTGAAATAAGGATAAATAAATGCAGTGCAGTATTAACGTCACCCCAATAGCATGAAATATGCATTCAATATTTAATAATATTTTTATCTTACTTAAATATTTGTTTTCTTAAACAAATATTTAATAAATATTTGTAATATGATATTTTTATTAAATATTGTTTAAATATTTTAAATACAATATTTCTTTTACAATATTCATTAAATATTTACTTTTCAATCAATGGAAAACATTAAATCTCCAATTTTTAGAAAATATTCCTTAAATATTTTCTGCTACGGCGCAGATGCGTGTGACTCCGAGCGACTAATGGCATAATAGCAAGCCGGCCTGAGCCAACCCGTTTGCCGGCATCCATTTTGCCTGTGATTTTCACTATGATAGGGTGCTCCTGTGTACCTCCAAGTGGTACATTATTTGAGTGTTTTTTTGCGGAAAAGGGTAAGTTTTTCGATAATTACACAGCTTAATTTATCTGCCTAGTAAACGTTATTATGCCAGTTGAGTATGAAGGTATTCACAAGACCATAAATAACTAGCCTTGAAGTGTAACAGTCATTTGGTATTGGTGTATTTATCTGAGAATGGATACGAAAATTATATTCATAACATCCCAATGAAAAGTCATATAATCGCAACTTGATCGAGATACATCAAAAATGCTATTTTTAAATATCTCAATTATTATTATTTTTGTCGTAGTAGGGGGCAGATCAGCTGTCACTGTCTTAAAATTGTCAAGTCGAAAATACTATATTTTTGTCCGTTATAATGTAAAATCACAAAGTAGTTATGGCTAAATCAGCCCCCTTATTAAAAAAGACACATTTCGTCAAAATCAATACGTGGTTTATTTTTAAAAACCTTTTCTTTAAAAGTTAGTCAAAGGATCAAGTTGTGCCCATGGACATTTCTCATCAAGATATCTAGAATAACGTACCAAATTTTTTTTTAAATTATTCAAATCTCGAACTATCACAGGCAGAAAATGTGGGGTCCTTTTAGGTGCATTATGGAGCTACTTTAATAAATATTTAATGCTACCGGGGCATGAGAATGTAATCCTGCTCCACAGAACATACTCTAATATAGGTAGTATAGAAAAATCTTGTTTTTACAGTGACCATACGCTCTATTGTGGATCCAGAAAGCTGTTTAATCTATAGACTGTGAAATAGGAATTACAAGATTGGAATCTTTTATTTAAATCAGCCATTTTGTTTTGTATAAAATTTTGAAGTAGCTTGTGTCACGTGCACCGCCAAGATGAATCCAACGACACTTCATATGTGAAAATCCGTCCAGCGGTTTGGCCTGCAGGTGAAAATATGTACGTTATCCAAATCAACCCAATTGAGAATCACTCTCAGCGTGACAACATGCGCGCGGGCGGAAAATCGAATAGCCAAGCACCTGGCACTGATGCGTCTTCACCACATTGCCAGGCAACGATAATGGGGAATAGGCAACGTGGTGACGACGCTTATATGGTGCACTCTTTCTAACACGGATTCCTAGAGATTTTTTCGCAAGATTCCGTAGTGAACCGGAACGAGAACAGATGGAATATCTCCGTTCTCTCGAAGTTTTGACAGTTTCAAGTTACAACACGAGTGGTTAGAAGGCGCATGTTGCGCAAAATGTTAGCTTTAAGCTCGTTGATAAATTTAGCTTCCTTGTTTGAATCTGAAATAAAAAGACCGATGTTTTTTTGTGCAATGTACATATATATCAATAAAATTAAGCATTTGATATGATAAATGCGGTTCCTGTATCTTCGATGACATTCTCCCTCGTCATTTAAAATCAGGTGGACGTGTTACTCGATTTATGATTTAATAATTTAACTCAATTTTCGGCACTGAGAAGACAAGTTTTCAATTTACATGTCTGTTTTTAAATGACTTTGACATAAAACCTGTCACCCACTAGTACCTCACAGACGTTAGGCAGTTACCCGTACCACGTGATTTTTTGAGATTTGGATGACGTCATCTTCCCCCTCTTCCCGTTCTTCGCGAAAATTTGAGTATTGGTTCCCGGTAGTGCACTGTGGACTCGCGAAAAAATCCTTTTTGTCTCGCACACATTAAAAACGACTTTGACCAGCCCTGGCCAGGACAATCCGAAAGGGAGTTCTCGATTTCGATACGTAAGGGCTCGCGTAGACAGACAACCGTTCAGCGTTCAAGCCGAAGGGCGGCGCGAACGACGATGCGGGACGATCATTCGTGCGGCCCAGTTAGCCGACCACGGGCAGTCACGTTCGCCGCCGCGACTAGTATAGGCCGAGAGTGAAATGCCTTTATCATTATCTCGATATTGCATAGAAAGTAATAGTTTTTTTGTTCAACAATATATGGAAAAGATTGTGGAGAAAATGAGTTGAATAGGAATCGTGGTAGAGGTGGAGAGTTCCACAAGAAGTACGAGAAATACAGAATGTATCCAGAAATTTCCTTTTGAGCATACCAGAATGAGTGTCGAAATCTTCGATTATAGTCTAATTAATATTCAACCAGAATTGGAAAAAAGCCAATGCAGATAGAATTTTAAGTGACGCCGAAAAATTATCTTTGACATTAAGGTAAGTACCTATCTACATATATAAGGGATAAAAAATTTAATTAGGTGAGCGTACTTTGGGATATGGTGATTCCCTAGCTCAGTTACGCCAGCCGTTTTTGAAGAAAACAGGATTTTGGATCCTAGTTTTTGGGTGTAGATGAAAGAAATGGGACTGAAAATGATCGCAAACAAGTTCTGAAATATTTTACTATACAGGGTGTTAGGGAAATAATATTCGTATCTTTAAAAGGTGATTCGATGCATTATTCTAAGCAAAAAAGTTCATTATAACTTATGTCCGAAAATCAATCGTTTTCGAGGAAAGTGAGTCGTAAATAATTAAATTTTCTGAAACATTTGGCAACGCTGCAATGTAACCGCGATACGAGCGCACGACGACCGCCTTGAATTATTGAATACTTTTACCCAATTTTTTATTGCTCATATTTTTTATGTAATAACGCTTTCAGTACAGTACATTTACTTAAAAAAATGACAGAACTTACCGGTACGTGGCGATACACACCACCAGTTCCCACGATTATCTGTCACATATCTGAAACGATGCGATGCACGAAAAAAAAATCGTAAATCACATAAAGTTACAGTTAAATGTATTAGTAATCACAACAACACGCGATGATACACGCAGTGCAGGCGGAGTACGACGTTGCCAGTTATGTGAGGGATTTTGTTTTGTTTGTTTTTCTCCGGAAAATTGTATTTAATAAGCAAGAAAATTATTTTGTTAGAGACAGTTAATTAATAAATAGATGTATTGATACATTTTACGCTATTAGGCATATGAATTTGAATTATTAAGGTGCAAAATTAATTTATTTCACGACTAAACAGGAATAAGTTCAGCATTTTTTTGCTCCGAAACAATGCAAGGAAAGACCTCTTAAAGTTACGAATATTATTTCCATAACACCCTGTATAATAGGTTTTCATTGAATGTTTGTTTTCAAAGACTGTGCGATGTTGCCAAATTCCAATACTTCATAGGTTTTCGTGTTGATGGATATTCTTTATAATTAAATTTGTATGTATGACTTCGGACTCCACACAACCCTAATAGTCTTTGTATTTCCGACAATAGAACGGAAGAACGTGCGACTCTATAGATCTATTAGTTACAAAGAACGCGGAACGCTTGAACGCTTTCTGTCTGCGCGAGCCCTAAGATGCGCATATTTGGACGCGTACCTTAACAATTTCTCGAAACCAAAATCAGAGAGTGAATTCAAAATAAATAGTGAATGATGTGATGATATTTTACAATGAAACGTAATGATAACCGGTGATTATAAATTGGCTAATACTCATTACATTAAGTGCCTGAACCGCTCACGAAGGTTCTCGGCTTTATCATCATTACGGATTTCTTCAACGTGTAGTCCCAACCTTTCCATCTGAACCACACGATGCCTGAAACAAAAATAGCGTTACGCTCAAAAATGTCATAAAAGTAAATGTACAGAGGGAGGAAGAACCCACACGTAATTTGAACTGGAAGGCAAAGGATACCATACAAAATATTTGTATATAGCGAAATTGATGAAATCTTATTGGCTGATTATTCTAGTCGAAAATACAAAGAGGTTTTTTTCGCTTTTTTCCAACTACCTATTTGCAACAGTATTCTAAATTCTTTTCATCTAATTACTTCATGAAGTGTATAGAGATGACTAAAAAACATCGTTTTTAATTTTGCTTTGTCATAAAATGCATTTTTTGTGCATTTTATTGTGGATTTTTTCTTCGATCTTAACTTGTTAACAAACAGTAGTACAGCTCTGAAATTGTATGTGAATATTCTACTTTTATGGATGAATAACACAAGTGATTACTTTTATTCTTATCACTTTTTCTTTTCGAAAAATCTTTGCTTTTCTTGAAAACCCAACTTGATGCGAGACGAGGCTTCAACAGAATCAAAGATTTTTCGAAAAGGATAGTGATAAGAACAGAGTAATCACTTGTTTCATTCTTCCATAAAAGAGGAATATTCACACAAAATTTCAGATCTGTACTTATATTTGTTAACAAGTTCCGATTGAATGCATTTTTTGAAAAAAAATTAATACATTGTTTTTTAGTCATCTCTATACACCCCATGAAATTATCAGATGGAAAGGATTTAGAATACAGCTGCAAGCAGGTGCTTGAAAAAAAATACAAAAAGGGACCCGTCACCTCAAGTGAATGCTGACTCTTTCAATATACGAATTTCAAACACGTTTTTCCCAACTCATGAGCAAAAACGAGGATAAACTGCTCCATCCTAGAAAATTTGATGTAAACAATCTATTTTTATTTACAGGTATAAAGGCAATTTTGACAAAGTGGCTTATTTTCCTAATAAACATCATGATCACTTGATTAGAAATTTTCAATGATATGAAAATAGACATATTTTAAGATATAGATGGTAGTAATTGTTAATTTCAAAACGATTTCCAAGAAACCTTTATTACTCTTTGTTTTGATATGAAATGCAAAGTAGTTATCAAAATTATTTTTTTCTCACCTTGTCTAGCTGTAAGGTCTTGCGGATCATTCAAGTACAAGCCGTTAAGGCCTCTCCCGCAGGACTTCCACCACCAGCCTCCTTTCAGCATAGATGCACAGTTTAGACTCGACCGATCATTGTCTCTGTAACAAACAAGTAAAATTTCTTAAAATTCCCAATTAACATACCTCAATTTGTTTTATCATAATAATAATAATAATAATAGTAATAATAATAATACCAGTGGGAAAGTTCACTTTTTGATTCAAGAAAAAAATACAAACTCAATGAAAGGCAAATATTTATTACTGTCAACATACAGGGTGTTAGTAACTTAAAGAGGCGATTCCTTGCATTATTCTAAGCAAAAAAATTCATTATAACTTAAGTCCGAAAACTAATCATTTTCGATGAAAGTGAGTCGTAAATAATTAAATTTTCTCAAAGATCTGGCAACGCACAACCACCGCAACTGATTCATCGAATTGTTTACGTTTGTTTGCTATTTTTGTTGAAAATGTGCCTTGAATTACTGAATACTTTTACGCAATTTTTTGTGACTAATATTTTTTATTTAATAACGCTTTCAGTACAGTACATTAACTCAAAAAAATGACAGAACTTACCGGTACGTGGCGATACACACCACCAATTCCCACGAGTATCAGTCACTTATTTGAAATGATGCGATGCACGAAAACAGAAAAAAACCAACATCCGTAAATCAGATAAGGTTACAGTTAAATGTATTAGTAATCACAGCAACATGCGATGATACATGCAGTGCAGGCGGAGTACGACGTTGCCAGTTGTCTGAGGGATTTTGTTTGTCTGTTTTTCTTTGGAAAATTGTATTTAATAAGCAAGAAAACTATTTTGTTAGAGACAGTTAATTAATAAATAGATGTATTGATTTATTTTACGCTAATAGACATATGAATTCAAATTATTAAGGTGCAAAATTAATTTATCTCATGACTAAAAAGAAATAAGTTCAGCATTTTTTTGCTCCGAAACGGTTGATTTTCGGGCATAGGTTATAATGAACTTTTTTTTTACACCCTGTATACGTAAATTCGGTGGGTTTTATTTCTTAAATATCATTTCGACCAAATGTTTTCCAACCCTTCGGACACGCTCTTCGAAACGCGCGTGCAAATTCTGAAACACCCTCTTGCAGAGTTCCGGAGTGATGTTGTTTATTTCTCGTCGAATGTTGTCTTTAGGCTCCTGCAGTGTTCGTGGGTTATTAGAATACACTTAGATAAACCCACAAAAAATAACCGCATGGCGTGAGGTCAGAGGACCTAGGAGGTTAGTGAGTGTCTCCAAACTTCCATATAACTTTTAGAGGAAAAAGTGCTGTAACGTGTCCATCGATTCTCTGAAAGTATGGGTCCCATCCTGTTGAAACCATGTATTTCTGTTATATCGACGTTCTGCTCTTATAATAGGAGCAAAAATGTTAATTATGTCCTTGTATCGCTCGGAATTGCATGACCTTTTTCATCTTCAAAGAAATACGGCCCAATACTACCGCTAGAGGATATGGAGCACCAAACAGTCACCTTTGGACTAAGTAGCCAATATCTGCAATTTTGCTTCTTCACATAATCGTCTAAGTGAAAATCTTCGACACTGAAAACAGCGATTCTGCGCTGCGTAGGAAAGAGATTCAACATCCGTTCAGTACAAAATGTCCGTAATACGTAATCACTTTCCTTTAAAGCATGGACTGATTGAATTTCATGAGGATCAAAACGCATTTTTTTTCTTCATTATGCCATGCAGTTTTGACCTAGGAATTCCCAAAGCACCGGAATGCTTCCGTACAGAACGCCGAGGATTTGCGATGACCGAAACACTTACTCGACGGACATTTTCTTCGGTTGATCCAGTAGGTGTGGGGTGTGGGGCCAGGAATGGGTTGACGAAGAGTACAGCCTGTTTCACGGAACCTCTTAATCCACTTTTTCAATAGGCTCTTACTTGGGGCATCTCTTGGTCGGCGAATGTTGTATCGTGTACAAAATTTCCGAAGGGCGGCTGCGTATGAATCATAAACATCCATAGCCAAGAAAAAAATTTCTCCTGGGACGGGATTCGAACCCGCACAGCGCACGGCGACTGATCAGGAGACCGAAGAGTCTACTACTGCGGCCACCGCTGCTGCCGCGTAATTCAAATTTGAAATATGAATTTTCCCGCGTGTACATGTACCAGCAATGTTGCAATTTTGCATAGAATTGAAACACAAATAATGATACAACTAATCAACGAATCATTTAAGATTTAAATTTATAATTAATCTATGTATGTCTGGCCTTGCTAAAGAAAATATCAATTTTTTGAAATTATTCCCAAGGCCTAGGTTCTTTATATTATCAGGTAAATTTACGTATAATTTTGTTCCTAAATAAAGGTGTTATAGAATTCTTCGGTCTGGGTCTTGCATGATATTTGATTTTTTTATCGTTACTAGTAAATTTGTAATAGTTGCTGATAGCATATAAGAGATAAACTTTTCTCATGTCGTATACGTGAATATCTTTGAACGAGACACCAGTAAGATAAAATTTTGGTTTTAGAACATTGTTTTTAGAATCATTTTTTGAAAGACTTTTGAAGCATAAGTCATGTAGCTTCCAATGCCAGTATGCCGTAGATTAAATATGTGCGATCATAATGTATTTCTCTTTTAGAATATCTTTGAGGTATTTAATTGTATATGATTCAAATCTAACTTTTTTTAAATATATGAAATATGAACAACCCAACGCAAGTGTGGATCCAAGAATATTCCAAGGTATTTTGTATCTGATATTCTATTAATTTACAATCTCTGATTATTCAAGAAAGAAGAGATATTTCTGCAATTTCATAGGTATTTAGAGTAGTAAAAACATAGTAAAGATGCGTTTTAGAGTAATTGATGCTAAATTTTCTGTTATTAACTAACTGGATAATTTTGGCAAAATCATCTTCCACTATGTTTTTTAAGTCAGCTCAGTCATCACCTTTATAAAGGACTGGAGTACCATGTGCAAAAATTGTTTTGCTCATACAATCAATTTGAAATATATCATTCAAATATACATCAAAAAACAGTGGACCTAAAACCGTTCCCTGTGGGAAACCACATTTGGTAAACATTTCATTACTAGAGCTGAGAAAACTCAATAAGCCGGAATTTGTATACTTTCCGTCTCTGTGACAATAACCAACTGTATACAAAGTTGTTTCATGCTTTTTTTCATCAGTAAAGTATAGGTCGGTCATTGAAGACAACGGAAAGCGAGCGCGTATGGGATACCGAAAAACTCAGTATTATGGTGACCTTTCAAACAAAAAGAATCAAAACCTAAATTCATACCTGTTGTATGTGGAGAATGGACTATTGCTGCTTCCATACCATGGGTCGTTCAGAGAATCGCCTGCATTGCCTTCGTAACCATCTATTTCCAGCTTGTAATAATCGGCCTCCGAGTAAATTTTGAAGTGGGCGTACTGAGCATATCTGAAAAAATGAATTTTGTGTACAACTGCAAAATGCCCCACGCTTTCAATGATAATGACGCTTATACTTCTATACTACTAAAGACCTAAACAAATAACTTTGTAGACTAAGTATATTGGTTGTTTGATGTCCTAAAAGCATGTGCTAATACTCGTACTATGGTGTTGATTAAAAATGTACTTTTACAGCTAAGCAAAAATTCCACATTTTGTGTTACTCATCATTTTTTTACTGAACGAGCGAACTGGTAGAAAATCATACTCTACTCCCCCTCTCGTTAAAGGTCATTTTTTATAATTTCTGTCGACCGTCAATACGAGAACTGGAAGTGACTTGGTGCTACTTCCGGCGCCCTCGTGTAGGAATTCAGCGGCCCACTACCTGAATTTGTGAAATAGTATCACACGCAGTGCTCCGGATTTATCGGATGGTGGAGATTTTGATAGAAATCGGCCTCCATTAGTGAGATTGCTGTCGGAGCCCTTTTTCTCGCTCGCTTCGGGATTTAGCAGTAGACCTAACTACACTCGACCATCGAGCCGAGGGAAACCGTCTGCAGTGTTAATACGAGGCGAATTTAAGTAGGACTCACGCCAGTGAGGAGCAGTTTTCCATTTCTGTGAACCCCATTGTTGGAGGGTTCCACCTTAGGGTTCTACCTTCAGGTATAGAGTTACATCTGAGACTTCCTGCTCTCGGTTGCCTACCGGTAATAGCCAAGCACCTGCCTAGGTGGTTTTTATTTTTTTATTTTAATATTTACTGGAAACCATTTAGCTAGGGGGGTAATACAAAATAATTTTCTTTAGCTTGTCCTCCAGAACTTTTTATTTAAATTTTTTTATTTCTTTTGTTCAATAAATTTGTGTACCTAGCGAGTATCTCCTTTAGCGTCAGAAACCCAACATTGGTTACTCGTTATTTCTTTTTCTAGTGGTTGGAACTAGATGGCGTCCAAACCACAACTGTTTGCATCCGTAAACCAAAGTACAAAGAACCTCGCCCTGAAGGCTCATTAATTACCAACCGACCACAGTTTTGCGTGATAACAACTGTCTTCCCAATAGTAGACATTTTCCACTTAACGTCGCATGTCCCTTTTTTCAACAGCCTGTCAATCGTAACTCGTAACAAATAATACTACAGCTCTAAAATAATATGTGAATATTCCACTTTTATGGAAGAACTGAGCAGGTCTTATCACTTTCTTCCTTCAAAAAATCTTTGTTTTTCTTGATAACTCAATTTGTTACGAAAATCAAAGATTTTTCGAAGGAAAAAAGTGATAAGAGTAAAAATAATCACACGCGCAATTCTACTGTAAATGTGTAATTTCGACAAAATATCAAAGATGAAAAAAAATCTTTTAACATAAAAAGTTGCCAAAATTCTCACCATGAAATAATCAGTTTAAACGTATTCTGACAAGCAGACAGTTGAAAAAAAAGTGACAGGTGACAACTTACAATCTAAGGCACGCGACATTAGTTTAAAAATTAATTTGCGAGCATTTTAACTATTATACGCGTACAGGTATGTCTTTCTACACCGGTAAAATTCGCATTTTCGATGGGTGACTGGCAAAGGTCTATTTTGCGTGCCTGGGCTGCGATCGATAAGACGTACTTTTTCGGGCTCCTGTAGAAGAACTTATTAAGAACTATGTTACCACGCATCTTTTTTCTTTAATGGTCTATTATTTCCATTACCATAGACGGCTTTTATAGCTGAACCATACATCACTGGTGGTTACGTTATTGTAAATCCGAGCTGGGATGTTGCAATATGCACCAGTTCATCTTTTTTCGAAGATGCATCAGACCGATATGTGGTTGTATGCAGCTGTAATTTATTCACACTCGTGACATTTTGCATTGACTGTACGAAAAACGCAAAACGTATTTAAGTGTATGGCATTTTGGAATACGTTTACGACACTATTTAGACTAAGAGATAGACAATTTCTGCTAAGGATACACTGAGACAATGGACCACATTCCACAGGCTTTTTAGTTGATTGGTATTCCTAAACGATGCTTCAAAAAATTTTATTATAGATACTGTTTTTTGAATTTTTTAACAGGCCAGGTAAATTCAACCACCTTTATGCCCATCCTCCGGTGAGAGGTCGGTTCACTCTCCATTAGAAATTTACTGAATTTTATCAAATCTAACCTATTAGGTTACTAGAAACCGTAAGCAAGCTTTGGAACGCTAAACTCTTCAAGAATGCCGTATTTGCTATCATTTTTCACATTATATTGCTTCCAGCTGCATAAAAAATATCGTCAAGTAGGTTGACTCTGCACTTCTCACCCAACGCCGTTACCACAAATTAGATAGACCCTCTGAGAAAAAGGTTAGTTGCGAACATGCATAATAGAGAAATTAAACAGATCAAGTCAGTCAAACAGGCTTATACAATTAGTCAATAGGAGGTGCAACAAGTCAGATGCGGCAATAAGGCCAGGATACTTAACAAGATAGGTATGCTCGCCGGTGATACCAGACAGCAGAAGCAGTGACGCGTATCAAAAGCATTTTTTAGGGGCAGATGTGCAGAGAAGTATATGAGGTGTCACATATGCGTAATAGATCGATTGAATTACCGAGGTTGGGAGCGTATAAACATACTAATATCAAAAAATTGATGCCACGCCCCCAATAATTCACCCCTGTATTTTTTTTTAAATGATCACGATCTTCTGAAACGTCAGAAAATTAAATTTGAGCGATTTTCATTTTCTTAGACCTATATTCAAAGACTACAAATCTTTTTCGTCCTTGTCATAATAGTAACCTTGTGTGTCTAGTCAACCCTCTGTTGCATGACTCAGTGAACTGTACAGTAGAGCAAGTTCGTAAAGATTCAAGGCCACGGCTCACACCGTGATATAGAGTTAGAGCACTTTGATTTGTTTTTAGTTCATCTCAAAATTCATCCTTGTAGTTAAAAAGCCTACGTGAGTCCTCTTAAGCTGTTTTTCGTAGCTCTTCTCCTTTTTTCTCCTCTTACCTTGACATTGTCTGGTTTCAGACAGTGACAAATGGGCAAATGTCCTACGGACCGCCCAGACAAACAAATGACGAATAGTATCTAAGTTTTCCCAGTTAGAGACGGGACAAGGATTAGTGGATAGACAGACAGACCGACGTAAATGAGTGACATTTGCAAACCTGAGAAGCCGCTTTTCTTCGCGTCGCTCCAATGCCCGGATTCTCATTTGATTGTGAGCTATGGAAACCAGCGGAAATGTTTCGCATCTCTTCTTTTCGCTTCTCTTTCCCTCAATGTACGAAGTGCGCATTCGAAACTCTTACTAGTTTCGTTCGCGGTTCCGATTCGGGATTGATTCTGAACCACTTCGCATGCGCTCTTCAAAAATCGGCGTTCGCGGTAAGAAAATTCTGAATTTTTAGTTACAGTTCTGCGTTCGCGGATCATATCGAATTGGTACAGAACTGATTATGAATTGGTCCTGACGGTTCTCAGATTTTTGGTGAGACTAAAAGTTCGATCCGGCTGATCATGCGCATTAGCATCGTTATGGACATTTGATATTTCATCTTCCGCTGCCTCTGTTCGGGTTTAAAGTGTTTAACCTATTCTGTGAAAATCTGTCACCTGTGCTTTTAGTGCCTGCTGTTCCATACATATGTTTTGAGTGTTCCATCTCAAGTTTTTAAGATTCAGTGCTTAAGATTTTGTGCTTAAGATGTCGGACCATTTATCGTTTAGTGATGATGATTTGGAAGAACTATTGGAAGTTATTGAAGTACCGACAACACCTGGAAGCTGTCAATAGTGTCAATCGAATAGCAGCTTGGCAACAGCACAAAATAGAGGGCAAATTGGCAACAGTGTTGAATACGCAAACAGTTCCAAAGTCGTGCGCGGTAAACGAAAATCTCGAACTAGAAAATAACTGGACATGCGCATTTGTTTAATTCTGGATGGTTCAGTTTTAGTTCCGAACTGGTTCATTTTTTGACCCGCGAACGCAATTACTAGCAACCAAGACAATGTACCGTCAAGGAGGAGCGACTAGCATTTAGCAATCATTTTTATTGTTTTGTTACTTTGGAGCAGTAAAGGTGCCAACGTATATGATTTGCGTGCCAAATTGCAGCATTAAAATGTATTTATATGGACGATTGTATAAAGTGTGGCCGCTGAATAAAATTAAAGTCAAGGTTCGTAGTGTCGCGAGTTTAAATACGCCAAGTGACATAAACGCTTATTTCGCTTTGTATCTTGAAAAATAGTTGCAGTACAAAGAATATCTTCGAATCCGCTCGGAAAATATTCTGATTCAGTTTTTTTTAATAACCTTATTCATAATGGACTCCATTGGATGAATTTTGCTTGTCCCCAGGCAAAAAATTGAAGCCAACCAGCAGAAATACATATCGCTCGGGTTACTATTTTCTGCTCGAATCCACTTTCATCATTTTTGTGGATCTTGCCCATTATTTTCCTATTTTTTGTTATATACCTTTCTCCGCATGATCATTTTCTTTTTGTAGATCCTTTGGGCTTGAAGTACCACAGCAAGTGGCTATAACCGGCCGCGTGGTTGTGGTTAGATGTCTCCTTGAAAATTCGAGGTCTTCTAGCCATTTGATACTACCATGTGTAGGTTGACTCTTGTTGTGGACTTCGTATGTCGATTTTTTTCCTCTCCATCGTCGTTCCCTCAGGTTACACCCGTATCCGGATGTGTAGACATGTGTATCTACTTTTGCAGTTGCATATGTACATTCATTTCGGACCTTATGAAGCCAACCAGCAGAAATGCGTATCGCTCGGGTTACCTATCCTATTTTCTACTCGAATCCACTTTTATCCTGTTTGCGGATTTTGCCCATTATTTACCTACTTTTTGTTATATTTATATATATATATATATATATATATATATATATCCTATTCACCGTCTCATTTTAACAGAAAGCAAGGTAGAATATAGTTACTTGAGCATTTTTAATCATCTTCCTAC